ATGTGTGTCTGGTGTGAACAATAACATTTTTCACATCATGAACAGTTTCCCAGAATCACCTCTAAGAGTCACCAACAGAACCAGAACCACAGAAATGTGCGTACACCAGCCCTGGAGTTGGCGTGGGGCTGCGCACATTTCCACGTTCAGTTGAGTTTTGATACATCTGGAGTTTTGCGTGGAAAATGGCGTACACAAGGTTTTTGTGCGTACACACCGTTGATACTTGAGGCCCCTGGACAGGTCTCCAGTCTCCATCAGGGACACAAAAGAGACAATCAACCATCCACACTCTGTCACACCTGGAGTCACACAGAAGAGCTCACACAGAAGAGCTCCAGAAGGTTTCAAACTGAGAACTCTGGACTCAGATCATCTGCTGCACACAGTTCTAATCACTTATTATCAATAATAATTTGCTACGATAAATTATTATTGATAATTATCATGAGTCCTTAACTTGAGGATGTAGTTGGGCAATTAAATATTCATGTATGTGTAAATTTATTACCATAATTGTGGGTGAGTTGTGTAAATTTATGTTTTTATAAAGCAAGTACCACCACCACCACCACCAAGACCAATTTCCCAGGGGAAACATTGTGGAGAGTTTTTTAATTATTAGATTTTTCTATTACATAAATCAAATCCACATTCTTCTTCTGTTTTTATTTAATATTTTTAACCCAGTGGCAGCAGCACATTGAGATACAGCTGACTGCATCTCTGCCTTCATGCCTTTCTCTCTCCTCTCCTCCTGCAAAGGAGGCAGAGACAGAAATAAGGAGGCATTATCTAATGATGCAAACTGCAGCCATTAAATAATGTTTGAAGATTATTTTTTGTTGTTGTTTTACTTTTCCTACAATAACTGAGTCAAAGGACAGTGTGTGCATCACAGTGCGCTTTGGGCCTGTGTGAGACAAACGCGCTGTTTTTCAGCACCATGTGCATCGCGCTCATGTGGCGTGTAGTGTGAGGTGCACTGATGAGATTTTCTCTGATAAAATCTGATAAAATAGTCAAGGATTCACGGGGCTGACTAAAATCATAATGTCTCTCTCATATTGTTCAGGGGGCCAGGCCAAATGTGTAGGCTGTAGTTTGTGGACCACTGTTATAGATCAATAGGTTAACTTTAACACTGAATGAGCAATGATAAACAGCAGTTTCATCTCTTCTTTGTTAATTGTACCACCTACTGTGCACTGACGATACCACCACAGAGCAGGGACACAAGTTAGAGTGGCACATGGAGCTGCACTTAACAATGCCAAGGTGCCTACACAGGCCTGAGCAGAACCAAACAGACATGAACTGAATAAAATGAGACTTGACAATGGAGACGAGATAAAACCACTTTTCAACAAAGAAGAATTTGTCCAGGGGACCTAATCCACTTTTTTATATGTTAAATAAATATAAATGCTACATAAAAGCATTTTTTCCCCAAAATTTGACTTAGATAAACTTACCATTTTGCTGCTGCTGCCCTTGGTTGATGTTCATAGGTGGAGGAGCGGGAGGTATGTTGGCCTCATTGGGGTGATGGTGCTGGTTGTTTTCATTGTTGGCATTCTGGTTGCTGACCAGTGCAGAGGACACACCAATACCAGTGCCTGCACTCAGACCCACTCTGGCACAACCCTAAAAAGACACCATGAATAATGCTTATTGAATGCCATTATGGGGAACAAATTCTTTACAATTTGTTCTTGAAATCCGATCAGTTTCAGCTACTACAACATCAAATTTTAGGTCAACATCTGTATTTCTGTCAATATCTGATTTATAGTCACTCTGTGACAATAAATCAGATATATTGAAGCAGTTTTATTTCAAAAATGTATTTGAAGATGTATTCACTTCTATTTAAAAATAGTTTATTTATCCCAAAGAGAAATTACATTTCGGAACAACCCATCCAAGAGAAAGACAAAAACAAGAATCACATACGTGGAGGGGGACAGGTGCCCTGCCCTTATATTTGAAAAAATAATAATAGGAAACATGAAGGTAGATGAGGGATAAAAACAATCATATCTCATACTGTGTGGCTGCAAGGACACTTCACAAAAAACTCTGCATAGAGCACATATAAGCTAGCGAAGGCGGTGAGTTGAGGAGTGTGTGTGTATCTGAAGCCGTGGAAATGTTGTTGTACCTCTGTGAAATAAGACTGTGAAATCAGTGCCTGACAGTCCCACCCAGCCATAGTTCCTGAAGTCATGTAGAGTTTATTAGATCAACTTTGAGTCAGCCACCAGACCACAGACAGGAGTGGGAGAGGGGATGGTGGGGGCAGAGCATCAGTTTACATCACATCCAGGAGAGTTTAAGATGTCCAGCCTTAAAGGCCAACATATGGAACCCACATTCAATAATCACAATTTTTGTGTCTATTCAATCACTAGTTTCTGCAAATTTCATTAGACTTTATCTAGCAGTACACTCAGCAGACACTTTATGAGGTACACCTTGCTAGTACAGGGTAGGACACACTTTTGCCTTCAGAACTGCCTCAATTCTTCGTGGCATAGATTCAACAAGGTGCTGGAAGCATTCCTCAGAGATTTTGGTCCATATTGACATGATGGCATCACACAGATGCCGCAGATTTGTCGGCTGCACATCCATGATGCGAATCTCCCGTTCCACCACATCCCAAAGATGCTCTATTGGATTGAGATCTGGTGACTGTGGAGGCCATTTGAGTACAGTGAACTCATTATTGTGTTCAAGAAACCAGTCTGAGATGATTCCAGCTTTATGACATGGCACATTTAACGTGTTGTGCATTCAGAGATGATCTTCTACATACCTTGGTTAAGATAAGATAAGATAAACCTTTACTGTCGTTGTACAGAGCACAATGAAATCACAGTTCAGAACACCCATTCAGAAGAAGACAGAACATAACAAACATAGGAGAACAGGTGCTCTGGGTCATGCTGCCACAGACCCTGCACAGAACAAGGATCATCTTCATGAACACATCATGAGGAGGCGCTACCCTTAAAAGAAAAACTAACCGATGTTGTTTTGTCGAACATCAGGAGACCACCAAGCCAATCTGGAGAATCCAGATATCAGAATCCAAATATACATCCAGAACAGAGCAGAACAGAGGTCCCACCTTTGACATGTCCTCCCATGAAAGAAAACTTTGTTCCAAAAATTTATTAAGAGACCAGCTAACCAAATCCATAAAAAAATATCCATAATTTCTGGTTTCGGATGAAAACGTAGAGAAGGATCCGAGCAGTGAAGCAGGAGAGAAGGAAAAAAGTGTCTTACTCCTCCGAGAGCGGGAACAAAAAAACAGTCTGCCCATTCTCCTCTGACCTCTGGCATCAACAAGGCATTTCCGCCCACAGGACTGCCGCTCACTGGATGTTTTCTCTTTTTCGGACCATTCTCTGTAAACCCTAGAGATGGTTGTGCGTGAAAATCCCAGTAGATCTTTCTTCCCCATACTGATGCTCGGTTTGAACTGCAGGAGATTGTCTTGACCATGTCTATATGCC